AGAATTTCAATAAACCCAGAAGACTTCATCATTTTCATTACATTGTTAAGATGAAGAGAGACTGGAAGAAAGTTTCTAGAATATTCTGTTGAATCGAATCCTGGAGTCTAAATCAAGGTTCATAATGATATTTCAGACCTTATAGTAGGTGGGGAAATCCAGATGTAGGCACTAAGGGGATAGTTCTTATTCCACCTTCTCTGTGGAGTCATTATGTTAGCAATTCCTTCCCGGGTGTTTAACTGTTAAGAGAAGGAGAGAGCACTTTTCTTCTGAAGATGAACCCTAGGTGGGAGTCTGTGGTTCCTAAGTTTTTCTGAGCCAAAGAGAAGGTTGCAGAAGGATGAGCATATTAGGAAGTACTTCCTTTTACACTGTTTTTAGCTTAGCTTTATGTTTAGTTACCAACACTGGTTATGCAGACTGACAACAAAAGAATGAAGCGAGCGTCAACTGATTTCTTGGTGACCGTTTTGGACAAAAGAGGCCTTTTGAAAAAACAGGGTCAGATGAATATTGGGCTATTCAAACCCCATCTCACTGCTTGCCTAAGGACCAAGTCCTGCTTCCTCCTTCTCCCTTTCTACATGTCTTAAGCCTTTCCTATCTCCTCTCCCTTCTCCTCCCACAGGAGGAAACCCTGAGCAGCCTGTTCAACTAGAAAATCAATGACTGATAGAGACTTAGTTGCTGGACTGGGCTTTGTAAACAAAATCTGCCTTTGGAAGAGAACGAGGAAACCAGGGTCTTTTAGTTCAGCTTGTAGAGTTAAAATGATCAGCCTGAGGTGGATATGCTTGCTTTTTTACTTGGGAGTTCTGGCTTTCTTGTGTTTATGTCAGGGGCTTCAACCAAGTGTTGAACTGATTTAATCCTCCAGACATTATGAGGTCAGTAATAGATGCGGCAACTGAAGCAGCTTGGTAACTCGCCCAAGAGTGGTGGACCCAAGATTCAAACCTTGGCAGTTTTTCTCCATATACTCTTTGGAAACCATACAGCATATAATTATTATCATATGCAGTAGTTAGTATTTGCCTTTGAGTTACAGAAAGATCAGAAGCAGTCAAGAGACAGTAGAGAGAGCTCCAAGCAGAGCGGAGATCCTTCTCTGTGTACTTCAGTGTTGCGGTTGTTTTTCAGCATATTGTGTCTTTCTCCTGAGTCAGGGAACCATCCTGCCTTTTCTTTTCCAGTGCTGAGGAATGTAAACAAGTTTGCTGGGCCTTGCGAGACTTCACCAGGTTGTTTCGATAGCTCACACTCCTGCACTGTGCCTGTCACCCAGGTGAGTGTCTCAGCTTTTTCCCTGGCTTTCAGGAATGCTTGGGGATGACGTAGGTTTTAATGCCCATCATGGGACTTATTACTATAGCTGGTCAGGGAAGGACTTCACAGTTTAACACTGCTGAACAGCTAGGAAATGCAGGGCCCTGATTTTCTTGGGCTAAGGCAGCCAGTATTGTCAGCTTCTTTTGCATGCCGTCTTCACCCCCACAGGAAAGTTATTATAGAAGAGCTAAAATAAATAAATAAATAAATAAAAATCTTCCTGTAATCTTCTTACAGACATTTTAGGGTGGTAAATGTGTATATTAAACGAATAAGTATTTTTTAACCTGGCTACCTTGGTGAAAACAGTGCTGACCTAAAGTTGACTGTGATTACATGACACCATTTCCCTAAAATTTACCTTCTAGATCAATGAGCAAAGATACTTATTCTTACCACTTTTATAGTCTAGATGCTGAAATGCCAGGTTTTTATCACTTTTATCGTCCGAATGCTGAAATGACCAAGGCCAGAGGTATAGGGAAGGTGTAGGAAAGCCTCTTTGTCTAGCTCTTGATCATCAGTTTTTCTCCGTGTGCTTCCTAACACTCGTTCTGAGGTAAAGCAAGAAGCTTAACTGAGGACAGAAAGGACTGGGTAGTGGGATTTGGGTGCCAGTTTCTTCACTGAGAGAAGAAAGGCAGCTCTCCTCTTAAGCCCCACCTTTGATGTCTTAGGCAGAATTTATTCTCCCAGGAGGCAATTCTCAACGAATGTGCAGCACCTCCCTGGCGGTTTCTGTTATTAAATGCACCAGTAGATTAAGGGACTCTTCAGCAGTGCCTAACCACACCAGAAATTATTTCTAAACTTTGGTTCTTTAATAAGTAGTGATATCATTTGGGATCTTCAAGTTTTGCAGTGTCAGGAATAGCTAACATTGATACACTCAGGCTTCTTAGTGGACAGCTATGAATGTTGATAGCTAACGTTTATGGTGCCTTTACTGTGTGTCAGATACTGTTTCCAGTGCTTTATAAGATAATCCTCAGGCGGTTCTGTGAGTTAGTGACCGTTTTTATTCCCGTTTTACAGGGGAATAGAGGTTCCAAGTGTTAAACGATTTGCGTGATTGTCACAGTCAGTAATTTATAGAGCTACGATACAGGTGTGGACATTGTGGTGCCAGAGTCCTCACTTTTAACCATGGTACTTAATACTTTTACAGAGTACCTTTTCATACAGACTAAATCAGTGGTTTTTAAAATTTTGTGAGCAGGCAGAGTCTTCCTTCAGGCTAAACTCTTGCATGAAACCCCAGTATATAAACAGACTGAAATCGATATTTTGTGGTTGGTTTGGGGTGGGCAGCCTGGACCTGTTGGTTCGCTCTACCCCCAACATACGTTCCCTAGTTTCCACAGCACACTCAGAATCAGAAAAGGGCTGCAGACTGTATCGTTAAAGCAGAAGCTGTCTTGAAATCACCAGTAAAAAATCCAACTTCTTCTTTTTTTTTTTTTTTTTAAACTGAGTCCTTGTTGCAGAGGGTAGAATGAGGTACCTGACCAAGTAGAGAAACGTCTGCCTTGACTTTATAAGAAGCTTACTATGTCCTGGACCACAATTATTGACTGTTTCCTCTCTTTGTCAGGAATGTCTTTTTTAATTAGAAGACAGGAAGAAAACAAAAACCAGACTGTGTCCCACAATCAGAAACCTCCATTGTGGCAGAGGGGCCTTCACCGCCACCAGGGCGTCCCGCCAGACAGGGAGAGACTCCAGCCTTCAGAGGCCATCCTGAGGAGTTCCTGTTTGGGGGTGTGAGGGAAAATCAGCGCGGTTTAAAAAAAGATGGCTGTGGCCTGTCCGGTGTGGTGGGAGGGGAGCTGGTTTCCTGGTGAACTTGTTTCAAAAGGAAAAGTAATTTTAAAGAAATAAAAAAGGAAACAAAAAAAAAGGAAAACTAAACTGAAACCAGAACTGAAACGTTCACTTGGCAGCAGTGACATGCACACATACACACACGTACCTACACACACATGCTAACATGCATGTGCACATACAATAAAATAAAAGTACAAATTTTTATGAAGCAGAAACCATTTACTTAGAGAAAATGGGAATTCAGATGAAATCGCTGCAATTGGAAGAAAAGGGTCAGGATCCTCTCTTAAGGTTTTCTATTGTTTTTTCCTCTTTCTCTCCCACCCTCCCTTCTTGCCCTTTCCCCCTCCTCTTTTAACGAAAACGAGTAGAAATTTATCGCACTCTCCCAGCATTTCTTCCCACCTCTAGAGTTGCTCAGACGAGGAGCCTATTTGTTTTATATCATGGTCACATCAGTGATACCAGGACCTGTGAGGGCCAAAATTCATGTATATCCCAACCCTGACTCTATCCAATCTCTAAATCCACTTCCAATCCACAGTGGGTTGTCATCAGCCAAAATTAGGGTGAGTGGGATATAAATGTATATTCTAAGTTTTAGGGTTTTTTTAAGATTTTTTTTTTTTTTTTTTTTTTTTAATTTTTCACCCACAGACAGGAGAGAGGGAAAAAGGAGGGTGGGTGGGAATATGAGGGAAAGTGTTTACAGGGCTAACTGTATTTTACTAAAAAATGTGGAAATTATTTGACTTTGTTGGGGGGTGAGGCGGGAGAGGGAAGCCCAAAGCTGATCTTAATGTTTTAAAGGAGTTGCAGCCCTGCACAGGTGTTAGATTTGAGGGCACTGTTCTGTCTGGTGTTACAGCCATCTCAAGAACAAATCAACAGCAACAAAACAAACAAACAAACAAAAAGAAAAGAAAAGAAATAAATTTTTAAAATTTAATCAGTGTTTGTTTTTCCTTCCTTTTACTGCCTCAGAGCTCTGAAATGACACAGCTAGACGACACGAGTGAGCAGTTTTAGCCATTACCTGGTAGACAGCTGCCTATGGAGTTTAAACAGCAGGCGCCTGCTTTTCGTGCCACGGACCCTTCGTATTTCAGGGGAGTGGCTCATTCTGCATCTTTTATTCTTCTAGTTCACCCTAAAGCTCATGCTACATTTGTGGTACGTATATTCTTTCTCCTGTGGCCACCCAAGTAGATGGATTAATTCCTAACCTACTGAGTACAATATTTGGTCTTTGAAAAAAAGAAACCTGTATTGCAGTATGCTTGACATAGAATAAGCTGCACATATTGAAGTTATACAGCTGATAAGCTTTGACATAGGATACACCCATGAAACCATTAACACAAGATAGTGAACATACCTTTACTCCCAAAAGTTTCCTCATGCCTCTTACCATCCACCCCATGCTCAAGTAGGCACTGATCTGCTGTCACTGTAGATCAGTTTGCATTTTCTTTAGTTTTATATAAATAGGATCATTCAGTATGTTAAAGTAATTGGGTTTTAAGCTAATAAGCTTGACTGCAGAGCTCTAACTAATATTGAAACCAATGAAACAAACCTTCCTGCATAACATCGGTTGTACTCAGAGTTTGACTTGGACAGGATCTTAGGCTGCATACATTTAAAAATCCACACCCTTACTTCAGCTAGCTTCCTCCTGGAAAGCAAAGCCAGCCAGTTCAGTGCTCCTGGCGCACTACTGACTCATCAACCTAGAAGGCAGACCCGCCCTCTGTCATGGCCCCAGAGATGGAGGGCAGGTGCTAGGGGAAATAGAGCCAGCTGATATCAGAAATCGGGTCTGGTAGAACAGCATGGAAGCAACTGGATCTTTTCAATATTTATTAATTGAAAAATACATAAAATTCCACTTCTATTCCATGTTCTTTCAAGGAGGTAGCTGCCAGCCTTAAGCATCTGGTATAATACCTATGTGCATATCTGTCTCAGATATGAGGGTGTGAGGCTCAAACTAGGGAACCCCCAAATCAGATCAGGCCCATGCCCTGTTGAGAGAGCATGGCCCATAGCACTTGACTGTCTTTGCCTGAGGAATTGGGGGGCAACCACAAGGGTGGGCCACTCTGGGACAGATCCCTCTCAGCTAGGCCCCTAGGGTTGGGGGAGTTCTCTGCTCACCGGGGCTGATGGCTGAGTTCCTCCAGAGTGAGCAGAGGCGAGGCACATCCAGGAAGACTGAGCCCTGAAAACAAAAGTGGCTTCTAGCTTCCCTCAGATGCTGCAAGGAGAGCCTGGAACACAGAGCTCTCTTCCCTCTCCTTAGCACAAATCCACTTCCAGAAGACCCAGAGAGAGGACCTGCGAGCCAATCAGGTGCCAACTGGGGCCACTGCACCTCCACATGAATCCACACAGACACCTGGGAAGCCCGTGCCAGTCACCATCCACAGTCTCATTGTTGCATGCCAACTGGGTGCATGGGCCAGGCCCCCTGGCCAGCACCAAGACCTGCCACAGGAGGGGCCTGGGCCACAGGCTGCAACCGCTGCTGGGACTGCCAGATGTGATGGAGCTCCTTGAATTGTTCCACCATGTGGTCTTTGAGGTCTGGGTTTGAGATCTGTAGCCGGATACTATCAGCTGACCAAGAAAGCTCCCCTGAGAACATCTCCAGCAACAGCCGAGCTGCTACAGGCACCACCTGGGAGGCAAAGAGGGACAGGAGAACCTTGGCGGGACTGTCCAATCTAGTTGTGCCTGAGGCATCCATCAGGAAGAAGGGCCACCAATTTCTACTTCATACAAAGGCTAGTTACATGTGGATAGCCCTGGGCCTTGATTATCACTGGCCGCCAAGTTCACACTGCTCAGAGAGCCCTGAGCCTCCACCCTGGGGCAAGAGCTGAGCCCCAGGATTTCCCAGTATTCAAGCCAAAGCAGAGTGGGGGCTTGAGAGATGAGATGGTGGTATACCTGTACAGTGATGAGCTTCTTCTCTCGGGGTTTGAGGTCAGGCCACTCCTCCCCAAAGCAGAAGAAGATCTCAAATGGTGGCGGGGTGTTGGTCTGGCCCTTCTGGAACAGGATGAGCTCTGCAGCAAGATCAAGACCCTTAGAGTCTAGAACCATGCTCCTGGACGATAGGAAGCCAGGAGGAACATAATGTGGGTCCCTCACCATTGAGAAAATGCTCCAGGCTGAAGAGCTTGGTTTTGACCTCCCGCTGGATGGGGTTGGGCTGTGAGCCGTGGGCTGAGGCACAGGGCCCGCTCCAGAACACCTTGCACTGGCACAGGCGGATGGCATACAGATCTTGGCCTTGCAGCTGGAGTATAAGCCCGCGGTCCAGGACATCCAGCAACTGGTTTGTGTAGAAGCGTTGCTTGTCGCTGGGGATGTCCTCAGGGCTGGGGAAGCGCACTTGCTCCAGGCTCACGGGGCCAAAGAGCTCTACCTGCTCTTGGGTGGCCTCCAGCTGGCTGTAGAAGAGCCGGCAGCCCTGTGGGTTGCTGATGGTGAGGGCACGGGGTGGCCGCCCCCGGTACTGGAACTTGATCTCCAAGTCAGTCACTGTGGGGCAGAGGGCAGGCCCGCCCAGTCTGTGAGCCCTGTGCCTCCTCGTTCTGCAGCCCACTGACTTGCTCTCTGCCCAGCAGCCAGGCCATCTAGTCAGCTCTCCCACTTCTGTCTCCCCCCCCACCCAAGGAGGGACTGGCTTGAGCATCTTTGCTCTTCATCCTCCACCCTTCTTGCAAACCAACCAAACCCGCCCCCCCCCCCCGCACTCTGTGTGGGCACACGCAACCCCCCCCCCCCCAGCTCTCCTGTGGGTCCTTACAAGGCAGCATGTGGGGGCTGATCAGCAGGTCGGGCAGGAGTTGTTCGCCTGTGGGGGGCAGGCTGGCAGCCAGGGACCCAGGCTGCAGGCTCGGCAGGACCGCAGGGAGAAGCTCCCCAAAGCCAGCAGGGTTGCCAGGGGTGGGGCCCAGGAGGCTGGTGGGGTCTGGTGCAGGAGGGCCCAGCACCACAGGTGGCTGGAGAGTGGGTGGCCACTTGACATCCTCTTTGGGTAAGGAATAGGGTGCCATGGGGGGGCCAGGTTGCACTGCTTCTAGAGGGTGGGGGCAAACAGAGCTTTAATGCCACTTCTGGTAACCGCCCCCTAGGCCCACCTACTCTTGGCCCTGGGCCTCCCTTCAGCCCCCTCCCAGGTGCCTGTGGTACCTGCAGCTTCTCCTTACTCTAGGCCCCCAACCACACCACCTCCCAGCCCCACCTGTGAGGCTCAGGCTTGGTAACATCCTCTGGAGCTGAAGAGAAGACAGGCAAAGGAGAAGGGAAGAGGCCAGAGAGAGAGAAGGGAGGCCAGGTTAATGAATTGATCTGATGCTAAAGAAATAACACATGAGCACCACAAAAGGCAATTCCCCAGTGTTCAGCTTAGCAAGGCCAGACCCTGCCTCCAGTCCCAGCTCTGCCCTCCCAGGCAGGTCAGTGAGCTCTCAGGGCCTCCGTTTCCTCATCTGCCTTCTACAGGTAGTAATACCTACTCAGCCCCAACTCCTGAGGGTGTGTCAGATGACATCTGGTCATGTTTTGTGCCAACAAAACCCTAAGGAGATTCAGGGTGCTGACTGTGTTCCTATCAGAACTCCCAAGAAGAAGCTCCAGAGAAGAGCTACAGAAAGGGCAGTAGGGCCCTGGAGGAAAGGGGCCACTTAATCCTAAAGCAGAGCAGGACAGCAGAAAGGCCGTAACAAGGCCCACCATGTCAGTGCACACAGACACTGCCAAGAGCGGCCCGGAGCTCACCTCTTCCTCCTCCTCCTCCTCCTCCTCTCCTGCACCAAAAGCGTAATCCTCACTGGGCTGTGACTCTGCAGAGCAGGGAGAGAAAACAAAAACAGAAACGCAGTTAGTGGAGGAGGAGGAGATGGGAGAAGGCCATCAGGGCTCCATGGGGCAGCTCCTGCTGTGGCTTCTTCCCTGCCGAGAGCTGCCCAAACAGGAAGGTGGAAGGCCACACAGCCACCAGAAATCACTAGGGACCTCTCTGACCCCATGGCACTAAGCTCCTTAGGCCACTAGACCTACACTCACTGGAGCCAAGAACAAGGGCAAGGTGAGCAAGATAGACACAAAGCCTGGTCTGTGCCAAGCCATCCCGGGCCTCACAAATGGTCCGTCGCAGGCCACTCCTGGAAGCCCGGGGTGTAATGACCTCGCAGGCCCAGGGCCCTGCCCCTTCCCGCACAGTTTCCTTAGGTGGCCCATGGGGTCAGGCGTGATACCTGCAGGAGCGTGGCCATTAGAGCAGACCTCGTAGATCTTGTAGGGCTGAGGTGGCATGTCCCGGGGTCCATCATAGATGAGGCGGAAGTCACGGCTCTTGTTAAGGGCACAGCGCAGGTTGGCCTTCCACTTGGCCGGGTCTGCCTCGTCCACCCCTTCGGTGTACTTTCCTGTCTCCTTGGCCCAGGCCTGGGCAAGAAGAAAAGATAAGGCAACCACAGAGAACCTCAACCTTCGCCAAAGCCCCAGCTCCTCCTGGCCTCTGGGAGTCACTGCTGAGCCAGTGAGACCTTCAGGGACACACAGCCTGACCTGAGTGTCCCTCTGCAAGGTAGGGGATACGACTCTAGGCCTTCCCGGCCCTTAGGGCTCCAAGAAACTAAAGGAAACCTAAGTGCTTTGAAAGGCATCTTATCCACTGCTCCTGCAAGGGTAAATAAGGTAAAATCTCTAAGGAGAATGGTGGATGAGAACATAGGATCTGGAGTGGGACCGGGTTTGAATCTGGAAACTGCCACCCACCAGCTTTGTGCCAGGGGCATGTCACTTTGCCTCTTTTTGCTGTGATGTCCTCATCACAGTGCCCACCTCACAGGGTGGTAGCAGAGACTCCAAGGCCCACAAAGCTCTCAGAACTGTGCCTGCACTTTGGACGGGCTCCATACACTTTAGCCGTTGGTATTATTTTTGAGGGTCAGTTGGCTAATACCAGGATTACAAAGGTTTCTTCCCTTTAACGTAGCAATTCGACTTCCAGGAATTTATCCTAGGGGTACAGAAGCATCCGCACAAAATTCTGCACATAAACAAGGTTTATTCATTGCAGCACTCTTTGTAAAAGCGGAAGACCCCAAATAAATGTCCCTCAATGGGAACTAGTTAAATTATGGCCAATCCTTAGAACGGAATAGTGGGCAGCAAGAAAAAAAAAAGGAGGGGGGGCTTTTGATATCCTAACATGTCATAATCTTCAAGAAATACGAGGTACAGGAGGGTATGTATACACCTATCATTTTGTAAAAAGCAGGAGAAAAGATAGGTACATATCTGCACACATGCACAAAAATCTCTCAGGAAGGATAAACAAGACACTGACAATACTAACTGCCTCCAGGGAGGGAATGGGTGGCTGAAGACGGGTGGGAGGGAGACTTTGCTGCAAACCATTTTACACTTTTTAAATTTTGAATTGTGTTACCTCGTCAAAAATAAGAAACAGATTTGAAAAGAACATTCAAAGGGTAAATATCAACCTGCAAAGACTAAGGAGACCCTATCCAAATGTTTAAAAATAAGGATTCTCTTCGATGCAGCAATGTTGAACTCTAGGAACTAATCCCAAAGAAAATCATTTAAGATGTACAACGGGTAAGGGGCGCCTGGGTGGCGCAGTCAGTTAAGCGTCCGACTTCAGCCAGGTCACGATCTCGCGGTCCGGGAGTTCGAGCCCCGCGTCAGGCTCTGGGCTGATGGCTCAGAGCCTGGAGCCTGTTTCCGATTCTGTGTCTCCCTCTCTCTCTGCCCCTCCCCCGTTCATGCTCTGTCTCTCTCTGTCCCAAAAATAAATAAACGTTCAAAAAAAAAAGAAGAAAATTAAAAAAAGATGTACAACGGGTAAGAGTTTAGAGGGTATCCGTGGCAACGGGTCTTCGACACTGAAACACTAAGCACTAAGCAATGTGAAGTGTCCAAAAACTGGGTTTGGATATCTAAACTGCTAAGCCCCGCACTGGTGACGGAAAGTGACGTGGCATTTAGGGCAGAGGAAAGCTGGTTCCGATGTTGGATGGTGAAAAGTGCAGGATATTCCAGGTTGATTCCATTTTTGAATTTTATAGACACATATGCAGAAAACTGAACATACAAGCAAAAAATTTCCATAGTTGTTACCTCCTCGTGTTAAGATTATGGGGGCATTCTGTGCTCTTTTAGAGTATGTTGGAGTATGCACTCCAAACACGCACACTGCACCCATACTCGTGTGATGAGAAAGTGACAAGAAAAGGGAGGAGGAGGAGGAGTTACAGGAAGGTCTCCCGGGGGCCTTTCAGTCCCCAGCTTGCTCTGGGCACAAGGTTAAAAAAAGGCACACTGCAGGGGTGCCTGGGTGGCTCAGTCAGTTAAGCGTCTGACTTAGGCTCAGGTCACGATTGCACAGTTCATGGGTTTGAGCCCGGTATCGGGCTCTCTGCTGTCAGCATAGAACCCGCTTCAGATACTCTGTCTCCCTCTCTCTCTCTTCCTCCCTTGCTCTCTCTCACACACACACTCTCTCTCTCTCTCATAAACAAATAAACATAAAAAAATTTTTTTTAAAAAAAGCACACTTTAGGGGCACCTCGTGGCTCCGTTAGAAAAAAAAAAAAAGGCACACGGTGGTTTTGCCTGCCTCCCCTTAGTCCAAGCCTGCGGTCGCCTGCGGCAAGGCAGCTGGGACAGCGGTCAGTTTAAGATGTATGGGGAGGTCCTCTTCTAGGGAGGGGGTGCATCAGAAGTCCAGGAGTACCCCCATCCTGGGCTTACCTTGAAGATGGTATTATCTCCGTCCTGGCTGGGGCCGTGCCGTGTGGCATGGCGCCAGGGGATGTAGAAGAATTTCCTCTCCCCATTGACCCACTGAAGCCCTGGGTACTGGCAGCTGTTCACCTGGGCCACCAGCCAGGGCTTGAGTCGCACACGGCGGGGTGGAGGGGGGGGCCTGGGGGCCGGCTGGTTCATGGCAAAGGGATCTGCAGCAGAAAGCCAGAGGGGGACATCAGAAGCTCTGCAGCTGGCCGCTCCCTGCAGCAGGAAGATGTGCAGGGGGCCAAGCCAGGGATTTGCTGGCTTCCTCTTCCTCTCTGGTCTGCCCAGATGCTCACGGCCAATTCTCTTTTCCAACTGTCAGCTTTCTGGTCACAGGGTCACTGCATCTGCTTTGTGTTTGGGAGGTGGGAGAGGGGGTGGGGTTCAGATAGAGGGGATGCATGCGTGCCCCGCCCAGGCATGCTTTACCAGGTGGGGCATCAATTCCCCAGCTGCTGTGAGGCTGCAGCGGCCCAAAGGCACAGGGCGGCCCATTGCTGCCTCACTCCACGGCTAGGCAGCCCACAGCCGGTGAGTGACTGATACACGGGGACAAAAAGCCAGTCCCCTTGCTTCAGATGGGGCAAACCGGTGCAACAGGCGCTCCAGAGCTCCGTGTGGGGTCAAACCGAAGGCCGTCTGCAGCCCATGCCACTTCCTTGCTTAGCTTTCTTCCTGCCCCACCCTGCTCCCCTCCTCTCCCCACCCCTTCTGCCCTCCCTCTCCTTATCCGGAGAACTCCCTCACTATGCCCCCTTCTAGGAAACTTGGCCAAAGACCAAGTCCCAGCATGTGAATGGAGGAAGGGTTTTCACACCCACTCTTCAGAGCTTCCTTTCTTCCTCAGTTTCCCTCCAAGGATGAAGCTTCCCCACACCTGGACATCTTGAGAGAAATCCCATCAGCCCACTCAGTCTACCTCCTGCCTCGCCAGGGCAGCAGCCTTAAGTGGGACTTAAGAAATACCAGCCAACTGATATACCTCAGATGTTGGAAGCTTCTGTCCTCCAGCTACTTCTCCCCGACCAGCCCTGCTCTCTCCTCTGACGGGGTTAAGACCAGACATAAGAGGAAGGCTGCTGGGGCTGTGACACAGGCGAGGGTCCAAGGGAGGGGCAGGCCTGTCAGGGAAGGAATGGCTGAAGGAACTAGGGCGTCTGGATTAGTGGCTAGGGACAAGAGCTATCCTTTGTGGCACCACCATGTGACAAAAGGACTAGGGTTTGAGTCAATACCTGGACAGTCTCCACTGAGGCAGACTAGACCCAGGTTGAAAAAAATTTTAACAGCTAAAGCTATGCAATCAATAGGCTCGGCCTGGGAGCCACTGGTTTCTGGGGGGTACCTACGCCCAGGTGGGCTTCCAGGTGGCCTGCCTTAGGTGGCAGATTGACCAAGATGATCTCTCAGGCCTGGACCCTATCATTCCAGGCCTGCTGGGAGCCCTGACCTCGGTTTCCCTGCCCAGTACCTTTTTGGCTGTGGTTGCTAAGCGCCACCTCCACGCTGCTAAGAAGTCTCCATCTGCGGGCCTCTCCTCAGGGCAGTGCCCAGCTCTGGGCTAGGACAGGGAGTTTAGGAGAGCCCCCAGCCCTGCCCCCAGGTCTTAAAAGATTGAGGGTTCAGTTCCCCTTTCTACACCAGCCTCCACCCAGCCCCAGGGGAAATGAAAGTGGCCAGAACAGACAACTCGGAAATCTGACTCACTGTGAACTGGGGGAAAGCTACATGGAAAAATTCACATTTGGGTCCCCAAGACCAAATTCTCAGTCCCTCACCCCGTAGCCCATTCCCCAGTCCCCTGCTGACGGTCACTGTACATTTGGTGTGGTTCACAGCTGTGGGGATGGCCTCACCCATCACATTTGTATTTGTAGCTCCCACCCGCATCCTCAGACGAGAAGCCGTGGTCCTAGAACGACCGGTGATAGCCACCAAGAGCTGCCATTCTGGCTATGTGAAGTGGACAGAGGAAAGCTCTGGTGACCCAGAGGGGAAGGCAAGCTTCCCTGACGACCAGCCCCCGACACGGTCAGGCCCGCAGCTGCGCCAGGGGTGATGGAGCCGGGACACCAGACAGGCCTACTCCTCTCTCTGCCCAGGGCAAGGAGGAAGTTAGGGTGACTCCCTCCCCGGCCGCCTAGCCTGGCCCAGCAGTGCTGTTCAGTAGAAAGACGTTGAAATTATTCACGTCAGTAATGTACAATCCCTTCGGGTATTCTAAGGAGGGGAGTATGGAGAAAGGGCTCCCATAACAAGCAGCCAGGGCCAAGGGAGGGTATCCGGCAAGCAGGCCAAAGAAAGATCTTCTGCCTCAGGTACACCAGGCCCAGGCTCAGTGTGTTTCCCAGCGAGGCTTCCTCCTGCCTAGAGGTGGGCTTAGATCTGCTTCAGACTATCCTAATGCCAAGAGTTCTGAATTTCAATGCGTTTGGGCCCCGTCCCACTTTCCCTCCAGGTAGAAATAGTGGCCCAGACTTCCCGGGCACCTCAGGAGCTATAGCACAGCTCTCAGAAAGTCCATCCACACTGTGCTCTACCGGTGGGAGGACTTGATTTTTCAGTAGAGGGCGGGCTTGACCAGGGGGTCTGCCCTGACTCACTGATAGCTGAACACGTGTGCCTTCTGGAGACTTGGGGTGACATTTCTGCGGCCCCCACACCTAGGATTTGAGCCCCGGAGAGTGGGGAAAGCCAGAAGAACCTGCATCAGTTTCCATGGAAATAAGGAAAAGGTGTGGGCTGCTGAGGACCTGAGAAGGCCCTTATGGGTGAATTCTGTAACAGTGAAGCATCTAGAAGGGCAGCCCAGGAACCTCTGCTGGGGTAGGAAAGCCCCACAATTCACGCCAAGGCCCTGGAAGCCCCGGAGCCAACCACCTGAGGAGCCCGGAACCCTGCGGAGACCAGGGACCCCCTACGGGAGGAGCTCTGCAGCCCGGTAGTGGGAGGAGCAGCAAGCCCCTTGCTACCTGTCTGATTCACACAGCCTCCCGGTAAATCCCACACTAAGTTCAGGGATAAGGCAAAGGGTTCCCTGCGCCTGGCGTGACCCTAAATCCCACCGCCTCCAGGTGAGTTGACCACATCCCGAGACAAGCTGAGGCCCAGATGCCTCTCTAGGCTTCCTTCAGGGGAAGGCCAGGGTGCAGGGGGAAACCCCAAAGTAAGGCCTTTAGGCAAAAAAGGGTGGTTTCCCAGTGCCTCCCTGCACTTGACGGAGCCTTAGCGCCCCCACCGGCTAGTTCCAGGGAGGGCGGGACGATGCTTGTGGCCTTGCTGCCCCTCTATTCTCCTCCATCGGCCCCGCCTGCGTCCTGGCAGGTCCTGGTCACTTATCCCCGTTTGGGGCGCGCGGGGAGCCCAGGCCAATCCCGCGGATCCACCCCCGGGGCGCGGACTCAGCTTCTGCCTCTTTGAACGCTCCGCGGGCTGATGGCGCCCCCTGTCTCTTCCCCCACCCTGCCGTGCCCGTCGCCCATCCCCTGCCCCTGCTCAGAGACTGCCCAGAGAGTACTGCGCGCGGTGGCGGGCACCTTCTACCCGCGTCGGCCACAGTCATCTCACTTTCCCTCTACTTTTAGACTCGTTTTGTTTTTAAGTTCGAGGGAAGTCTGTAAGGAAACTAGTCCAAGAAGTGCGCCCCGTGATTCTTCTCTGCTACGAGGGTCAGTGCCTCTTGTTCTCGGCCACTAGTCAAAAGACGGCGCCTCCGCCCGACACCATCTTCCCACACACTCTGCCCGAATTCCTGTCATTGGCAGGTGCCCAGGGAAGAGATGCGAAGCGTGCAAAAGGGGGGAATAGGGGCTCACCCCTCTACGACCCAAGCTAGACCGCTGTCGGGCGCCCAGGCGCTCCCCATCCTTGCGGCGGCGAGACGGAGGGAGAGCAGAGTAGACCTAGGGCTCCTGGCAGCGGTGACCCCTCCGCCGGTCCCCGGGCTCCCCGGGTGCCTGAGGGACGAAGGCTGCGGGTGTGAGGCACCCCAGGCTGATCCGGACGTAGGGAGCACCTTGGAGGCCGCCAGACCGGAGGGGCATGCCCTGCCGTGGGCGCCCCCTCTGCCCCCCGCCACCGCGGGAGCTAGAGCGCCCGGAGGAGCCGGACGCGGACCCCTCCCGCGCGCCCGCCGTACCTCCGTTCCCCGCCCGCCGCCGGCCGGTGCCCGCAGGGCGCGGAGAGGAGCGCGGGCGGCCGAGACCTACCTGCCTCCGATGCACCCGCGTGGCTGCGCCCGGGAGCACGGGCCGGGCGGCGGGGCCGAGCTGCGCTCTCCCGGAGCTGCGCCTCCCGCTCGCCTGGCACTTCCGCGTCACCCGCCCCCGCCCCTGGATCGCGGCCGCCGAGCCTCTGCGCGCCGGCGGCGCCCCGCCCTGCCCCTCGGGACCACCCTGGGCGCCCCCGGCTCTGACCCGGCGACTGAGGGCTGCAGAGCGGGCCAGGCCGGGCCCCCCAGCGCTGCCCAAGGCCTCTGGGGGAAACGGCAGGCCGAGCGGTGGCCTGGACCGACTACTGGGCTCCTTCGGCAATCTGGAACCGCAAAATAGTCATTTGACAGCCCCAGACCCCCTCCCCACGAAGCCCAAGTGCTCGGCGGGGCCCGGGAACTTCCCTAGCCCGCGCCCTCCGGGAGTTCAAGTTCGGGTCAGACACAGGCCGTCAACAAAGTACAAACGAGGGCGCGGTAGGGCCGACTGATAGGTAGCTTCTCGGTCCTCTCCCTGCCCGCCCGCGCTCCTGGGAGGGTCGCTCCAGGGCCAAGCTGCTGGCATCTGGATCCGGACACCCCCCTCCTCGACGTGCTTGCAGACAAGGATCCTCAAGCCGTTCTGTCCCCTTTTCTGAGTCTCAACCTGCCTGCCCCAGCTCTCCCTCCCTGGTTGCCTTTGGGACCTCTCAGTATCAGTGCGTGGTCTCTTGTCCCACACTTAACTGCTACCTTGACCATCCATCTGTCTTCTGAACGTTCTTTGATTTCACAAATGGGCCTCACTCACTGGCCCCAAACTTCCTACGTCCTGTTCCTTCTCCTGGAGCATTCTTTGCTTCATAATGACCGTCCTCCGAATTTTGTTTCAGCATGGCCTCCTCTGGAAAGCCTACCTTGACTTCCTCTCCTTGGTCGGGTTTCTGAGCTCTAAAGTTCATCCTCACTGGTTTCCCTTATGAAATTCTTAGTTTAAAGTCTGATTCCCACTGGAATCAGCTTACTCAGGGATTACTTTTGGTTTTTTTTCATTGTTTTCTATAGTAATTTAAAAAAATTTATAAATGAAGATTTCCAAGTTAACTGACCAAATTTTAGACAGCAACTAAAATATATAAGTTCTAGATAGTATTATTTGCCCTTTAAAGTTTAGAGACTCCTGTGTTTTTCACAAATCCAGTATTAGTTGACGAATCAGAGCTTTGGCCTTCCCCTCCCCTCTCCTTTTCCCTCTAGGAATACCTGGGTTCGTCTTTACTACTAATCTGTGTCATTACTTACTATGTGTTGTCTTTTTTCTTCTTTTCTGCATCTCTCTCCCTCTCCCCCAACCCCCAGCCCTAATGTAAAATGGAAATCTAATTATGTACAAGGGTTTTATTAATAGTATCTGCTGCATATTTCACTATTTCATAGTTTTTAAAATTTAAAGTGTGGATGGGGAAAATGTGGGTAGGTAGATGGTTTTATATTTTTTTCTGTAAAAATGAAACTGCCATTTAATTGAAAGTGGCCATCACAAAATGGGAACCTTTTTTTTTTTTTTTTTTTTTTTTAAAACAGAGACCAGTTATGCTTGATAAACAATATTCTATTTGGTCCAGAAAAAATTATCTGGAACAATAGCCATCAGGAGAATTCTTTTATTGTCAGATGCCCCACACAGAGTCTGAGGGACCATGAGACTCTAGGATTCTGCGCATTGCCCCCTATACACTGTCCCTTTTGCTCAGGTGAGGACCCGACTTTTAGAGACTCTGACTTTGTTAGGAACCATGCAGGGGCTATGTGTACATGAAGTTCACCACGCTTGAGCTGGCATCTATCTCCGTTGCTAAGTGACCTTGGGCAGGTCCGGTGAATCTCATTCCCTGTCTGTAAGGGGGAGATGATATTACCAAGCTCGTAGCATTGGCGCGAGGTTCCAGCAATAGGGGAGCTCCACTAGGGTCCTGCCTTGTCCAGACCGGGGGAACCTGAACGAAGAACCACTCTGGGACAGAGACATGGGATGGCGAGGAAGGGGCAGGGGCAGAGAGCATCATTCAGGCTCTTCCAAAACAGAAGGGTCCCCTTGCCTCCCAACGCTGTCTGTGGTGAAGAAAAAGCAAAGGGGAAGTGAGGGTGCACCTGACCACCTGCCATGCAATCACTCCCCATCCCCCACCCCACCTCCGCACCCCCCCACCGGGGCCTGGCCACACGGGAGCAGAGAGACTTGGCCTCCACAGCCCCAGGAGCCTTACTCCCAGCAGTAAGCCAGCCCTTGCCCCCACTTCCCCTGACTGGGGTGGCAGATTGAGGGTGTGGTCAGAGGCTTGATTCCGGTAGAAGCCAGGGTGCATGAGTATGTGGGTGGGGGGAGCTGTGTCACCAAAGGGAACCGAAAGAAGCCTAGTGTGAGCGGTAGGGAGAGAAGATAGAGGTGTAAGGGGTTAAGTGGGACAAGACCTCCCACCCAACTCTGGACCCGCCCCCGTCAATGCAGTTCTGTGCAAATTACAGCTGCCCTTACCTCCCCTCCAGGAGACCCACCCCCTCAGGCCCAGCCCTTGGGATTCCCCAGGCTGGCCTTCTCCTCGGATATCCCCTATTTTGGGGAACTTGTTGGCTAAACACCGGGCTCTGGAGTCTAACAGGCCCGAGTCACTCCCCAGTCTACCACTGAGGCATTGTGTGACCTCGAGCAAACCACCAACTCTCTTGGAACCCCCATTTCCCACCTGTAAAGCGAGAATAACAGCACTGTAGCAGGTTGGCTGTGGGGCCTAAATTCAACAAATGCTCAGTGAGCACCTTCTTCAGGCCAGGATAAAACGGAGAACAAAAGTCGATTCTGTCTAATGCCCTGCCCTATCTATGGTGAGAGATAGTAAATGCTTAAGTAACAAAATCGGGGGTCCTCGCGTGTCACTGTGCAGGATAACAGAGGCACGACATGACCCGACTTAGGTTTTAACTTGGCCACTCTTGACTTTGTAAACACACAAGTGGTAGCTTTATTATTAGCGACGCCCAGGAGGCCATATCGGGGCTTCTTCTCCATTTCTTACCAACTGCCACCTCCTCAGAGCTTTCTGGGGCATGACCTGGAAGTCCCCCACTTGGCCAGCACAGTCACATGCACGTCCCTAGACCTCATGTCCCCTCGTCTCCCAATTTGCAGCTCTCTTTACCTCTTCACATGGCCTGAGGCCTAAGACGCCGTGCTGTCTCCTGCATCCATCATCCCAGGCCCCAGCTCTCTGCTCCCTTGGCCCTTTTAAGAACAAATGTTACTTCCCTTTTCCTTCGTGGTCAGCACCTTTCCTCACCCTGACCCCCTGCAGCCTGGCTTCCACACCTTTCCCATGGATTCTGCTCTGGGCCTTGGTTCCACAGCTCAAGCAGGCCCTGGTACTCCCAGGAACGCCTCAGAATCTCCAGTCTCAGCATCTCTCTCACTTAGACTCTCAGAGGCTGCCTGGGATTTCATTAGTGCCAGGAGGTCTCATCAGCTCTTTAAAGAAAGATGGTGGAGACTCTCCTAGCTCAGCTCAGAGCCTTCCTGTCGTCCCCCCTCCTTGGTACTGCCCTGCGTCTCAGTGCATTTGTCACTGGTTCTTCTGCTGACCCCTCCCCCACTCATATCCTTCTAGAGCCAGAATGCCCCACCCAGACATCCTGATACCCCCACCCCCGCCCCCACTGCTGCACGGGTGCTGATTCTAGCACTCTTAAAATCTGCTGAGCTCAGCATTTCACTCAAACCACTTCCGTCCCCACTGCTGGGCTCTGTCACAGAAGAGATCAGGGCTCCCGTCCTTCCTGCCTGTTGGTAGAGCATGAGTCACCTGGACAAGAAGGAAAAGAAAGAGGAGGAAACCTTCTAGGCTTCTGCAGTGCAAATAGTTGCTTTATGGGGACAGAGGCCACTTGGCCTCATAGGATCCAGCTGTGGACCTTGGTGTTCTCTCTTGTCCCCCAAAAGACCTGATTGAAGCCTAGACTCTTTATATGTCCCCACCAGGGAGAGGGGTCCCATCCAGGTCCATGAGGTCCACCCATCATTGGTTGGCATGTAGGGGACTCTGTGGTCACAGGCTGCAGTGGGCTTATCAGCCAGACCCATCTCAAGTCCCTGCAGCTTAGAACCAGTCAGTGCATGGGACCCTGCCCGGGGCAGGACTGGTGTCCGTCTGAGGTGAGAAGTGAGGGAGGGAGTCAATTCTGTCTAGGATGTCAGGGTCAGCCCAAAGGCATAGGGGTGCTCCCAACTCACATCTAGCCCTCAGGGTGGTAGGCAGATGACAGAGGACTAGGGTTGGCTCTGGGACTCAGGAAGAGGTGCTCTGTGGCCTGGAGCAGCTGAAGCTTGAGGTCATGGGATGGGGCCACGAGGCATGACATTCATCCTACGTGGCCTCTCAACACTTCATCGCAGAAGGGGGATGTCCGCTGCCCCTCTTTGGCCTTCTACAAGGCAGGCTGTGTGGGGGGGTGTGGGTTGAGCATCTCCCACTAGAGGTGGGGGGAGGAGTGGGAGCTCTTGGGGGCTGGTGGGAGCCAAACAGAACTGTGGGAACAGGTGCTTGATTCCTGCCAAGCAGATACTTCTGGACTATTTCCTGGGGGTCAGGCCTCTGGGGGTGGTGCTGGGTTGGGGTGTCCCCAGATTACTGCTCTGGTAGCTTCGGATGCCAGCAGTGAAAAGTCAAGAAAGCACAAAGTTCTAGGGGCTAAAGGACCCTGAGAGGCTCCTAGGACAGGCCTACGCTGTTCTCTTGGGTCCCAGAAAAGAGGAGGCTGTCAGGCCTCTCTGAAGGGGAGTCTGGCGGTGGTTCTTACCAGGCCAGTGTTCTAGAACCTCATTGTTTCACAGGTCTCCAAGCCAGGAGCCAACTGGAACTCTGATGCCCGCCCAAGTCCCCATGCCAGGCCGACTGCAGCCACATGGATGCTGGTGGGCATGTGGGATTCAGGAGTCTCCACTGATCTGTGCCAGTCTGGAAGGCCACGTATGTCCTGTTTCTCTCAGCCTATCCTCCTTCTTCTTTGCTGGGGCAGCGCATTCTTCCAGATCTGCAGGGGGACTGACGTGACTTGACAGTTATCTGGGGCCCATCACGGAGACAGGAAGAACGAGCTACCTGCTCAAGCAGGAAAGAGCTCCCAGGGGCTTCTTCATCATGCCCACCCCCCACCCCCCAACACACTGCAAAGGCTTGGCTTTGCAAGTAGGAGGTCACAGAGCATCCAAAAGAACTGGGCAGGGGGACAGTGATCCCAGGGCTCCTGGGTCCCACCTGGGACTTGGCCATCCAGAGAGCAAGCGCTCAATCCTGCGTCCTCACTGCGATTCGGGGCCCGGGGTTCAGGGGAGAGACGGTAGGGCCACAGGCCCCTTGCAGAGGAACAGCCTATCCCAGGCCTTGGAGAAGAGCCTTGGAGTGGGGCAGGTCACCGCCCGCCCCACTGCAGCACCAGGGAGGGGGGAATGCTGGGTCAAGGCGGTGTTGGAAATGGATGTGGTGTGGAGGGGGCAGGCCCCATGCTGGGCTGACCTGAGGAGCAGCTACAACCAGACGATCCTAATGAGTCCTTAATACATGCTACACGCTACTGAGCACGTTTCATGTTATTACTGCATTTAATTGCCATGAGCAGCCAACATGAAGTGGGCATTATTAGTATCTCCCTTTACAAAGAGGCAAGCTGAGAAACTTGCTAACCCCGTGAACTTGGACAAGTTAATCTGCATACTTCTTTGTAGTCTTAGTATCATCCTCGGCTGATAGAAGCACGGCCCCGATCTCTGCCTCAGTCTTCACATGGTGCCTTTCCCCATGTCGTATCTCTGTGTCCTGTGTCCAAATTTCCCTTTTCATGAGGATGTTAGTCATATTGGATTAGGGCCCACCCTAATGACTTCATCTTAACCTAAATAATTACATCTGCCACGATCCTGTGTACAAATAAGGCCACATTCTGAGGATCTGAGTTAGGACTTTAAAGTACGGATTTGAGGGGAAATAATGCACCCCCTACCAATATTTAACATGTAACCTACTTTGCACCAAACACTGGGGTCACATTTGATTTTCATGGCAACCGTAGAAGGCAGGAGAATGTATCGCATTCATTTTACAGACGAAGACCCTGAAGTTCAGCAAGGTTAGGTGGTTCACCCAAAGGCACACAGCAACTAGCCAGGGATGTGAACCACACTAAACCATAAGTGACGTCTGATCATGCCAGAGTCAGACACACCGGGGTTCAGGTCCTAACTGGATGGCCTGGAGAGGTATTCACCCTCTCTAGCCTTCAGTGTCCTCATTTTAAAAATAGGGTCAATATTGTCCTGTCAACAACAAAGTGCTGCTGTTCAATGGTGAGGATGAGGTCTAGCCCGGTGACTGACACAGAGTAGAAGAAATGATAGTGATATAAATGTAGCAGTAGCTGCTGGGTAGGGCATGTCCTGTGTTCTGTTGGTTCTGGGTGGCTGCCTCCCTATGACCACCTGTCCTTGCTGAGTCCCCAGGGCAGTCAGAGCCAGGGAGGCATGCAGATCAGTCCACCCTGGCCACCCAGAGCTCCCTGGGGAGCTGCACCCCCTAGACATGACTCCAACTCTTCCCCTCCACCGGGCCCGACACAAGTGAGGGGGAGGCTGGAGGGTGTTGGCAGCTGGGGGCCTCCTTCCTGTGCCCAGGCCCCAGGGTGTTGTCTGTGTAGAAAGGTGGCCCGGGTGTTCAGAGAATGACCACAGCCCCTGAGGGAGGCTGCCTACTGCCCAGCTGCCTCACCCTCTCTTCCTCAGGGGCAAGCCCATGAGAAATTGTAGGATCAGAGAACAGACCAGGGGTTGGGGGTGCAGGGATGGGGCTGACCACAAAGGAGCAGCACGAAGCGGTGGGAAGACTAAAATTAGTGGGTACACTAAAAAGAATGAGTTTTATTGTATGGAAATGACAAAACTTTAAAAAGTGATTCAGAAGGGCCAAATTCTATGGGCGCCTGGCTGGCTCAGGAGAAGCGTGTGAAACTTGATCTTGGGGTTGTGAGTTCGAGCCCCACGTTGGCTGTGGGGGGCAGTTTCCAGAATTAAGTAAGTATGTAATTAAAAAAAAAGAAGAGCCAAATTCTAAATGTCAAGAAGTTTTAGGAATAGCTTAACAAATTTAGTTTGTAGTTTCCTTCTTATGCAAGCAAAAGACCCAAATATGATAAATATGTCTTAGAGAACTCTTTAAGTAAACCTAAAATAAAATTTCTAAGTAATTAAACAAAGAGAAGCAAAGAAAAGGAATACATCCTTCCCAGAAAGGCAGGAGTGGCACCTTGTCCCTACCCTTTGTGTCTCCCTCCCTCCAGCCTGGCTTGTCAGGGCCCTGCTGTGCCTCCCTGACTTCTTCCCAGCTCTCGGGAGGCTGACTTCTGTCAAGCTCCCTGACTGTCCCAGGGGCTCAGACAAAGGGCCCACCCTCAGTATGGGTGGCTGCAGGTGACAGGCGGACAAGTTGGGGCCCTGGCAGGATACAGGTGGCATTAAATGGAGGCAAGTTCGCAGAAGTGTTAAACAGGGTTACGAAAGCCAGTGGGGAATGTCCAGGCACCCAGGGCTTAGCATCATCGGGAACCATTACTACCCTCTGAGGGACAACCTCCAGGACCTGCCACAGCAAGGCGACGGCACTGTCTGTTCCGTATCCCTGTCCCCCTATCTCTTGCCAATGCCTCCCCCTAGCCAAAGCCACCCAGAATCCAGAGACCAAGAGAGCCAGGGACATGCGGACTGAGGAGGCCAGCCTCCTTGGGGCATGGAGTGAGGCAGAAGAAACCAGAGGATGGATGGGGGGAGGGGTGGCAAGCAGAGAGAAAGGGAGGAATCTGATTGGGGGGGGTTGGGGGATATGCCCTAGGGCCCAAGGTTACCTCAGGCTTCTCCCCCGGGGGCAACCAAGCCTCCCAGCTGCTCTTCCAGGCTGGGAGTTCCTGAATGAACGAATGAATGAATGAATGAATGAATGACGAATTTGAGGATGGATGAGTGACGGATATAATGGGAAGAGGCTGGCTCGTGCTGGCACTAAAACAAGGTGGATTATTTTCCCCAGGATTTCCAACCTTCTAGGCCTTTAAGGACTGTTTCCTAAGTACCCACTTCGAGGCCCTGCAAAGGACCCTGAGCTGGAGAAGCAGAGGCCAAGGCAGGGGTGGGGGTGCCATCAGGCACTGGGGAGCCTGTGTGGCCCTGCCCTGCCCTGCCCAGGAGGCCTTGCTTCTCCTCCCTCTCACTGGAAACACACTCAGGGGCTGCCCACCCCCTAGCTCCACCCCCACCCCTCACCAAGGCCCCACCTTCTCCATCTGGGCCACTCAGGGCTGGGTTCAGTTGGGTGTTGATGCTGCAGGGGAGGGGAGGTGAGGGACAGCAGGGTGGAGACTGGAGACCGAGGGACCTGTCACCCCGATTAGTATAGTGTGCACATCTGCAGAGTAGCACCAGCTCCCCAGCGCAAGCCTCCTTGTGGGAGGAGCAGAGCTTGGCCTCGGGACTTCGAATGTTCTCAGAGTGCCCTGGGAGGTAGGGATGGTGGTGATTGATGGGGAGGGGGAGGCTTTCCCTTCCGCGGCTGGCGGTGCCAGGAGGGGCCTGGCATTGTGCTGGGCGCGTGAACACTTGCACATGTGCATCGTCTGACCTACATACTTTGTCAGGTTGCAAACCACCCCTCCCGCACCCTGTACCTCTTTCAATTAGGCTGGGTGTTTAGCGAAGGCTATTGTGAGTCCGAGGGGGCAGAGGCAGAGAGGTGGGGAGCCCCAAATCTCATGGGGAAAACCTCATGAAGGCTCAGTTTCTGGAGTCCAAGAACCAGCACTGGGGTTGGGGTGTGGGTCAAGATGGGAGGGTGGGAGGCGTAAGGCAGGTCCCCTTCTGAGAGGTCTCTCTTGGGGGTCCTCAGACATCATATCCCCCACTTCTACTTTGGACTGGAGCTTGGAAGGCAGCAAATCATAGGACTGAGCATCACTTGGGATGAGGGTCAGGGGCCTGGGGTGAGGGTTCAAGGGCAGAGTACCCCTCATTATGCTTCAGCCTTGCCCCGACCCAGTCTTCAGTCGCGGCCTTCATAGAAGTCTCAGTGAGTAGTACGGAGGCCTATCCCCAGTGAGTGAACTGATCCCTGGTGTGTGAGTGACCCCGGTCTTCACCTTGTCCTGTGCTCCACCCGTTCCCTGCTCCCAGGTCTGTTCCCAAAGATTTCCAGATGCACTGACAGTGGGGTTCCAATAGAGACCGTTTGCTTTCTTAGCAGGGCCGCTGGTTGAATGAGATAGGTGGAAGCCTTCTGCGACTGTCCCCCGCCAAGCTTCCTCATGTTCAAATCCCCCCACTCCATGCTTCGCCTACCCTCCAGCCCAGCTTAGCTCAGGCTTCCAATTTTAGGATACTCTAGGGAAAGGGCAGAGGGTAGCTACCATTGCCACTGAGCCCTGCCCCCACAGCCTGTTTGTCTCTGGGGGCAGAAGGGAATGTGGACGAGCTCAGGGGTTATACCGAGAAGTACTTAAGGTGTAGGAAGGAGCAGCAGGGGCAGTTGCCAGGGGAGCCTGACCCCAGGGCTACCAATGAGCTGCTCCCAGACCTCAGGACACTTGCTTTCCTGAGCCTGAACGTCTGACTCAGGAAATCCGAGGTGATGCCTGGGGCCATGCAGCCCCTCAAATGCTCCATCAAAGCTGCATCCTCCGTATCGCTCACTGGGGCCACCATGTGGCCATCTCAGTGCCTCAGTCCTTCTCGGTGGCGTCCCTTTTCCAAGGCCATTCTTGCTCAGGCAGCTTTCCTGCCCACACACTCGGCCCAGGACCTTCCCTGGGGACATCTTACCTGGATGGGACAGGAAGACAGTATAGTAAGCTGTCCACAGTTAGCCTAGAGCAACCACTACGAAAACTACTAAATAAATAGGTATAAAAAAAAATCATTTAGGAATAATTTAAATCTTATATTAGAAAATACTCACATTGTTGGGGCGCCTGGGTGGCGCAGTCGGTTAAGCGTCCGACTTCAGCCAGGTCACGATCTCGCGGTCCGTGAGTTCGAGCCCCGCGTCAGGCTCTGGGCTGATGGCTCGGAGCCTGGAGCCTGTTTCCGATTCTGTGTCTCCCTCTCTCTCTGCCCCTCCCCCGTTCATGCTCTGTCTCTCTCTGTCCCAAAAATAAATTAAAAATGTTGGAAAAAAAAAAAAAAGAAAATACATTGTAAAAGAAGGCAGTCTGGGAGAAATAGACGAACAAAAAAGACATGAGATATTTAGAAAACTAGCAAGATGGCAAATACAACTAACTATCAATAATGTGAACGGATTAAAGAATCCAATTAAAAGGCAGAGATCATCAGATCCGACACCAATATCCGACAATATGCTATCTATAGGAGACAGATTTTAGATTTAAAGATATAAGGGTGCTCTCTCTCTCTCCCTCTTTTTCTCTCTCTCTCAAAATGCATAAACATTTTTAAAAATTAAAAAAAATCTATCGGGTCTAGTATAGCACAGGGGAATATAGTCAATAATGTTGTAACCACTTGAATTTTTTTTTTTTTTTAGCGTTTATTTATTTTTGAGAGAGAGAGAGACAGAGCATGAACGGGGGAGGGGCAGAGAGAGAGGGGAGACACAGAATGCAAAGCAGGCTCCAGGCTCTGAGCCATCAGCCCAGAGCCCGACGCGGGGCTCGAACTCACAGACCGCAAGATAGTGACCTCAGTCGGATACTTAACCGACTGGGCCACCCAGGCACCCCACAACTCTGTATGTGATAGATGGCAGCTAGACTTGGTGGTGACCATCCTGTAATGTATATAAATATGGAATCACTATGTTGGGCACCTGAAACTAATACAATATTGTGTTTCAATTAAAAAAGTATTATGATGATGGTATATGTTAGAAATCTAATGGTTAATTTAAATTCACATTTACTGTATATATTAAACATAAACTTTCTGCTTTAAACCTTAAAAAAATCGACTGGGTCTGATATTAGTATAGCCTCTCAAGTTTTCTCATGGTTGCTATTTGCATGATACAGCTTTTTACATCTATTTGTATCTTTGGGTTTTTTTTTTAATTTGTTTATTTTATTTAAAATTTTTTAAACATTTATTCAGTTTTTGAGAGACAGAGAGAGAGCATGAGTGGAAGAGGGGCAGAGAGAGAGGGGAGACACAGAATCCAAAGCAGGCTCCAGGCTCCAAGCTGTAGCACAGAGCCCAACGTGGGGCTTGAACTCATGAACTGTGAAATCATGACCTGAGCCAAAGTCGGTTGCTTAACCGACTGAGCCACCCAGGTGCCCCGTTTTGTTTTGTTTTTTTTAATTTTTAATGTTTATTTATTTATTTTGAGAGAGAGAGAGAGTGAGTGCAAGCCAGGGAGAGGCAGGGAGAGAGGGAGAGAAAGAATCCCATGCAGGATCCATGCTTCCAGCACAGAGCTGGATGCAGGGCATGAACTCATGAACTGTGAGATCATGACCTGAGCCGAACTCAAGAGTTGGATGCTTAACCTGCTGAGCTACCCAGGCACCCCCAGACCCAATAGATTTTAAAACAAAGGAAGTTACTAAAGATAAAGAGGGACATTTTATCGTGATAGAAGTTTAATTATCTAAGTGGTGACAATTAGAAACAGATATGCACCTAACAAAAGAGCTATAGTTCACAGCACATACAAAAATTAACTCAAAATGGATCAAAGACCTATATGTAAGAGCTAATACCATAGGAAAATATAGGAATAAATCTTCTTAACTTTGGATTAGGTGATGGTTCTCTACATATGACACTTGAAGTAAAGCAACAAAAGAAAAAAAAAACAGATAAATTGAACTTCAACTTCATCAAAATTAAAAGCTTTTGTGCTGCAAAGGACACAGTAAAAAAAGTAAAGAGTCACCCCACAGAATGGAAGAAAACAGGGGTTAGCCATATACCTGATAAATGATTTGTAATTTACAAATCTTTGTTCTTTGTAATATACAAAGAACTCTTACACTGAATAAACAAAAAGACAACTCAGTTAAACTTGGGGAAAGGATTTGAATAGACATTCCTCCAGAGAAGTTATATAAATGACTAATCAGCACATGTAAAGATGTCAACATCATGAGTCATTAGGGAAATGCAAATCAAAACCACACTGGGATACCACTTTACACCCACGAGGATGGATATTAAAAAAAAAAAGTCAGACAATAATGAGTGTTGTAGAGAATGTGGAGAAATCGGAACCCTCATATACTGCTGGTGGGAATGTAAAGTGGTACAGCCACTTAGGAAAACAATTTGGCACTTCCTGAAAAGGTTAAAGATAGAGTTACCACAAGATGCCGCGATCCCACCTGGCAGACACCCAAGAGACGTTGATGCATAAATCCACAAAAAAACTTGCACATGAATATTCATAATAGCCCCAAAGTGGAAACAATCCAAATGCTTATCAACTGATGAGTGAATAAATAAAATAAGGAATAAAAAAATAAAAACTGGAATGTTATTCGGCAGTAGAAAGGAACAAGGGTACTGATACATGCCACAACACGGAAGATCCTTGAAAATACGCTAAGCGAAAGAAGTGGGACACAAAGGACCACATGTTGTAAAATTTACGCAGATGAAATGTCCAGAATAGGCACATGAATCCGTACAGAAGTGAAAATGAGTGGTTGGTTGCCTGGGGCTGGCGAATGGGTTGCGGTAGGAAATAGGGGGTGACTGCAAAGGGTACAGGGATTCCTTGGGGGTGATGAAATGTTCTAACAGTTGATTGTGGTGATAGTTTAGTATATTCACAGCCATGTGACTATACCCAATTACTGAAGTGTATACTTCTCCCCGCCCCGCCCCCCCCATAACAACATCCTTTATTGGGCACCAGCAGTGCCCTGGTAAGCCCGCGTGCGCAGACTGGACGAGGTGCAGGGCTGGCTTTAGTGACGGTGCTGTCGCAGCTGCAGTCCACCACAGCCACACGTCCCAGGTTTTAGTTTCTTTGTTCAGCTTTATATACACTTTCGGGTGCCCCCTTCCCCGCCCCCGCTGCTGCTGTCACATGCGATCACATGACTTTCAACTTCACTCATGGGCTGCTCAGCTATCAAATCAATGGCAAAGTTTTCATTCGCCTCTTTCTGGTGACCTACAAATCGAATTTTCCTAGTCTTTATTATCATAAACATGACGGATGTGTGTAACCTTCTCCCTGGTGGGCCAGGATCGCACCCCAAAACACCTGGAGCCTCCACAGAGCTCATGCCCAGCAGCCCCAGAAGGTCACACTGCCGCCATCTTGTGGGCTCTGAATTGTGCTCTTTCAACAGGTGGATTTATGGTATGTGAATTATATTTCAATAAAGCTGTTACCAAAACAAAAACCATAGAAAGGGAACCTGAGGTTATTTGTGGGTACTAGGACATCTGGTGCCTCATGGTAGTCCAGCTGTGGTTTTGATCTGCTGGCCTCTCCTCCTTGTCATCTGATCCCTCTCTTCATATTACCTGGAAGGAAGAGCTGCTATTCCTTTCTCTCAGTCCCTATTCTAGCTCTTGTCTTTCTCTAAAACTGTGGGGTGGGGCTATGGTGCTGGGTGAGACCAGTTGCTTGACCAGAAGAACGCCCTTGACCAATCTTGGTCCAAACTCCAGTGGCCAGCCTATGTGGGAAGGCAAGTGTGGACCCTGACTGCCAAGGGAGTCCAGAGAGGGGTGCTGAGCTAATCCAAAGCAGAGGGCCTTGGGCAAGTGTAGGCAATGCCCCTTACTGACCAGCCTCCATCTGGCTCCTCAGAGCCACAAATTGAGTTGGGTCACTTCTGATGCAGGCTGTCAATGATAGGCTTTGCCTCTGTTTGGGATCTGAAGTCTGGGGCCCTGACCCAGGATCGCAGGAATAGGGGCCGAAGGAACTTCTGAGACTCAGTAACCCCAACCCAATCTTTGGATTTTATAATGGGGTTGAGGCAGTGGGAAGAGAGACCCCTGTGTGTGCCCATCCACCGGTACCTGCCAAGCAACCCCCATGGCTGTACCCTGGGATTAAAGCAGAAAGGGGCGGAGCTGGCAAAGTGGACCTGCTGGAGGGGCGCTCCCAGCCCATTGTGCAAGGGAGCATAAATCTTGTAAATTTTGCACGCATAAATCTTGTAACTGCATGCATTCCCAGTACTGTGGGAGAACCGAGGAGAAGCGGAAGTTCCCCGTGTGCAGGAGTCATGGGTGGTGGGTGAAGATCAACAACATCTCCATAGCGGTTAGGCGTCAGAGCTCTGGTGGAGCGCCAGTCCCCCGCTCTCCAGCTGAGTGAGCTTGCCTAGGCTGCTTAAACTCTCCAAGCCCCCGTTCCCTTGCCTGTTGGAGCCATTAGGGATAGCAAGAAGAGAAATGGGTGGGAAGAAGAGGGAACTGCCAGCAGGAAGCTACATGTATGTATCTTGTCTCTTCTTCCCCCAACTTCTTAGCTTGAGAAATGAAAGTCACAAAAGAGATTGAAGACACCCTAGGTTGGAATAAGCACAAGAATGACGGGCAAGCTCCCCTCCAGGCTGGAGAACCTCAAGGCTTGGAGGTCCCTGTATGAGCTCCTGGAAACCTCCCCGCCCCCACTCCCCCCCAGGTCCTTGCTCTGCTGCAGGATTCAGATATGCAATCTGATTGCATCAGTCTCTCTATGCCAAAATCAAAACAACAAATGTACACACACTCCTAAAATCCCAGCAGGTTCAATCCAACAAGGAAGTATTCGGTTCCAGCTGTGAATATTAATCTGTGCAGTGTTGGTCAAGTGTGGGGACTGGTATTTCGTACTGAGCAGTTGTGCCGCAGCTTGGCACAGAGCCTGGAACATCGTGAGGTGGACCTTGGCGGGCATTTTAAGGACAGGCAAAGGATGACCTTCCTGGAGGGGGACCGGTGGGCTACC